ATATATATATATATATATATATGTATATACCATATCTAATATATATTTATATATGTATATAAATAAATATATATACATCTGTCATCGTTTTTATTTGTATATTCGTGTGGTCAAACGAAGTGTCGCGTTTCCGTCGGGTGAACTTTGATCGCTCATGGATAACAGGAAAATACAGTGAAAAAGAAAAAAGAAAGAGAGAGAGAAAGAGAGATTGAAGATCTAGGATTTCGTTGTTCAATGCTTACCGAAGACACGAGAATTAAGGAGGAATATTTTGATTAAGAAGAATATAAAGAGAAGAGTTCGGAAGGATGTCGTTGCCGCGAGGTGTCGGACTCGGCGTCGATGTCGGTCAATTGATGCAACATCAGCAACAACAACATCATCAACAACAGCATCACGTATTACCGGCAGCTTTTTTTCTACGGGCCAGTGCCGAAAGATATCAGAGGACACCGAAATGTGCTAGATGTCGTAATCACGGAGTCGTTTCCGCCCTTAAGGGACACAAGCGTTATTGCCGATGGAGGGACTGCGTGTGTGCGAAATGTACCCTTATCGCTGAGAGACAACGCGTCATGGCAGCTCAGGTGAGAAATAATGTTTATGTTATTTATTTTATTTAATTTTATTTTATTTTATTTTATTTTCTCCTTCTCTCTAACAAATTAGAATCCGATTTTCAACGTTTCAACGTTTAACTTATTTTAAGATAAGATTAGATCATTCTGCAAACGTATTTTATTCGGGACGATTATGAGTGAGAATGTTTTTTTAAACTAAGTTTCAAATTGACGTGTGTTGTAAAGTATTGAACGGTTTTTGTTTCTTATTAAAATGAGAAGATTTTTCATCCTTAGCTTTGCTTATTTCTCTTTTTTTTCTTGTATTTTTTTATAATAATATTTAATAGCGTAATTTCTTCCTTCTTCCTCGTATTTTGCGTTTATAATATATTCGGATAACAAATAAAAACGATTTGTCTTAAATTCGTGTAAGTTCTGTAAATGAATGAAATAAAAAAGCTCATGAAAACGTCTGGAAGATGTTACCGTGGCAAAAAAATTCCTTACTTTTCGCGATATAGATACGCGAATGCTCGAGGGTGGTAATAGCAGCACTTGGAGGGTAGCCAAGTTGTTCTTTTTTTCTTTTTATCATAGTATACAAAGTCAATGAATCAAATGTAACTGATCTTACAAACTTTCCCACCTCCCCCCCACCCCAAGATAAAACTTCCGAGAACTGATTATTCTTTTATATATAAAATCCCGTAGAACATCTCGTTAAAAAAGTTTTGCCTTATTTTATTTTCATCTTATTGGTCTCTCAAGAAAATGAAAAGAATAATTTAAAATTACGTATTTTTAACTATCCTAATAGATAAGATATTCGATCTATTTTATTTGCAAATATAATATTAAAAAATCGAGATAAATCGAATTTATTTGTAATTTTCAAAAGTGACATATTTTGGTATCACGAAAAATAACAACACCGTATCATCTTCCTTTCGTTACAAAATTTTAATAAGAGTAATCAAGGAAGAGAAGGACAGAGTATGAAAAAAGAAAAAAAAGCAAACAAAAAACAAGAAAAGTTTGTTACGTAACGAAGCGTGTATCGTAGGGCTTCGCATTTTATTTTGCCTGATCTTTTGTTTACGTCTTGCTTTCTCTCTCTCTCTCTCTCTCTCTCTCTCTCTCTCTCTACATTTGCAAAGTAATTAATAAAACAGCGTTCGGTGTTACTGCACCGTCGAGCGTGCATTTTCCACTTCTCTGCCGTGCATAAAGACTCTACCGGGCTCTCCCTTGGCCCTTACGTAGTCAACCGAGTATGAAATATCGGCATACCATAATGTAAGCTTTGCATCGGATACCCTTTTTAAATTTCCTACAAGGTAGTAGGTGTACGTACGTAAGGGTGATTTCACGAATTTTCAGGTGGCCCATTGCGTACTCTTGGAAGACGTTTTGTTTCAATTATATTTTTGTTCTGTCATAGTCAAATGTATTAAGTACCATTTTTATATATTAATCCTTTCATCTAATTCTATCTTTTTTTATTTCATCTTGATATTAATAGATTACAAAATGTCAGCATGAATACATCTTTTTTGTAACATACATGTAGATATATATTTTACACATATAATAATATTCTAGCGTATCATTCGTACAATTGTTAAAGTCTATTGAAAATTGTATAGATCCTGCATTTCATTCTGGTATTGTGATGAAAAAGGAAAAAAAAATATATCAAATATTTAGAAGGATCCGTCCCACCATTGTATTCTTGAATTATTTGACACTCTATATAACTTCTTAGCATTATTCAAACGTTACAAAGATGATCATGGGGTGAACGGTGGGTAAAATTTCCAGCAAAGTTTGGCACACCGCCTCGCGTAACGTTACAGGATCGTAATACTATACGTCCTTGAAAGAAAGAGAGAAAGAGAGAAAGATAGAAAGATAGAAAGAGAGAAAGATAGAAAGATAGAAAGAGAGAAAGATAAAGAGAGAGAAAAAGAGAGAGAGAGAGAGTAGAGAGAGAGTAGAGAGTTCCCTCGTGCAACGTTTATTGACCTACTTGTGACACCGTATACTTACATTTGGTGATAGGCTTATTCTCAGCAGCCGTGATCCGTTTCATTCGAAACCTTAATATCCTTTCCTCGCAACTCTTCATTGTATCTGTTTCACCCTCACCTAGGACCAATAAGACCTATAGCTTTAGGATCGGATGTAATTTGCTCTGGTGAGATTTGATGTAGGGTACAACAAAGGAAAATAAAAAGAAAAATATGAAATTAAATTATGATATTTCTTTTTTATGTAGTGAAACAGCTGGTACCAAATAACTAATCATTTTTATATAACTTGTGTGTGTGTGTTTTAATAATATAATTTGGACAAAATGATCTTCAAATTTTGGTTTCTTATGCAACATTGTGATATTGTTAACAGGACGATGAATCTTTAATTAATATAGTATTTGTGTACAAAAAATCGTATATCGTTTCTTTAATTTGTATTAGAATAATATGAAATTATTGCAATAACAGATTTTTCCTCGAAATAAATTGGAAAAAAAAAAACAGGTTCAGTTATAATCGATGGTAGAAACAAGAATACTTCAGTAGCTTAGAAACATCTTCAGCTAGATGTTAACCGTATTTATTTGTTTGATATGTTAGTGATCATAAAAGCAAATCTTTTTTATATTTTTTTTTAAATTTTATTCACAGAATATATTATGTCACTCATAAGAATTCACATTTACATAGTCGCTTTTGACAATCGTCGTATATTATTTATATTCATATTTCTATTCTTTCATTCTATATTTCTTTTTCTTATATTCATCTCGACGCGTACCGTTCTCATATTTTGATGTACGATATATATCGAGCTTGTAAGGACCTAGTTTCGGTTTGTAATAGATATATGACCCCTGTCTTTTCTTTTTTTCTCTTTTTCCCTACTATGGTTCGTGTAACCCTTCGCTCTCTTTCTCTCCCTCTTATTTAACGCATGTGTGCACTTTGTCTATGGGGGTTAAACGGTACGTATACATTACGTTTTGCTTTAAGTTACTTAAATGATTTCCGCGAGTGTATATAGTAGGAGTTTATATATATATATACAAATTGTCCGTTTAAATTGATATAATCGAAGAATCGTATTATACAAATATATCTCGAGATTGTGATTATTAATAATTTTTTAGATTTAATAATTTATTCCATATTGTCAAACTATTCGCAAATACGTATATAAATATTATCGTTTGATATTTATCTAACGTCATAATTGTCAGACTAGTATTACAGTTTATTTCAACGAATGTTCCATACATAACATCTTTTATTCTGTTGAAAATTCTACTTTAGAATCCGATCGAAGAATCCACCCTCTATCACGTTTCAAACGTTATTACACTGTAGTCCAAATAGTTGTCAAACGAATACGATAAACATCTTCTCTCACCGTTTTCTCTCATCGGACTTATTTTCTATAAGAAATCTTTGGAAATTCACACCAATGACAATGAAGAAAAGGAAGTGATTCTAGAGTATCGTGGGATGAATGATATATCCATCCAAAAGATAGTTTCACTTTTCGATCTTTTGACAAAAAGAAAAAAGATAAAAAAGATTAGGAGCATACAATGTCAAACATATAACCATTGACAATGCAACTTTAGAATTATTATCTTTATTTTTTATTTGAACGAGTAAAATTAGAATGACGTCTTAAAAAAATAAGTGAATAATTTAAATTAACATCAAACGTATTATGACCGGTCAAATGACGTGAGTCAAAAATTCTTATTGCACAAATGGTATATTTTTTGCTATACATAAATCGTAAAATATATGACTTTGTGAAGATGGATTATTTGATCTATTATGATAGAAATAAGTATACATAAAGCTCACTAAATTTAGTGTTAATATATTGCTCAATATTATCTAGAAGTAGATATACATATCTACAATCTATTACGACTCTGGATCTTTGTATTTCGTATTGTAAATTTGTTAAAAAAACAATGTAGAACCTACGTTAAAAATCCAATAAAAATGTGTTAATTACATTTTAATGAATCGTACATACGTAAATTACGCGAATATTAGACAATATAAATACAGGTTTATCGTGAGACCTAGTTAAAGGAAAATAAAATGAAAGTAAACGAGAAAGAGTGACATAGAGAGAGAAAGAAAAGATTAAAAAAAGAAAAAGAAAAAAAAGAAAAAAGGAAAGAACCTGAAAGAAATAAAGAGAGACGACGGGGGGTGGTGGTGGTGGTGGGGTAGTTATTGCGTGTGGATTTTTTATTTTTGGAGTAATATCAGGAATACGCGTCGACGACGTTTCAGAACGAACGAACGGTCGTTTCATGCACCGTTACCGATGCCATCGATCGGCGTCACCCGATGCTCGATACTCGAAGAATAATTGCGCCATCGACTACGTCGGCGATGCGCAAAGTGGTAGGCGCGTCGACAGGGGGTAGGTTCAAAAGGGGGGTGAAACGTTTCATGGGTAGGCGTGAATCTTCGTTTCCTCGGAACCAGTAGTAGAGAGTGCCTCACGTTCTAAGACGTGATTCTCTCTCTCTCTCTTTTTTTACTACCATTTCACCATCTCATTTCTCTCTCTCTTTCTTTCTTACTCTCACATTCTCTCTCACTTATTCTCTTTCTCTCTTTCTTCTTCTAACTCTTCTCCCGGTCGCGTATCAAAGTGAACATTCCTCTTCTATTGCGGTCTGGTCCATGCCACATTGCTGCATCCAACACTTCTTTTTCTTCTATTTTTTTTTTTTTCTCTTTTTACTTATTTTTCTTCTATACACAAAAGTTTCATCGACTAGAATCAAATTGGACATTGGTTGTTTTTTATTTTTATTTTTATTTCTTGTGGGGTGGGTATAAATCTATAAATGGATTGTATGCATTTTAAATAACACATTTGTACGCCGTTTGGTATTTTTTAATTTGTTAAGATTGTTATTGATATATAGATATTGAGATAATGGATATACGTGTTGATAATTATGACAGTTAATTAAATGAAACAATTGTAAACGTTAGAGCCTTATGATTTATATCTTAATCTAATGAACAATTGTTATTTCAAATAAGAATCATGAGGATCAGTTTCTTTTCTTTTTTTCTTTTCATTTGTCTATATTAATAATTTTCTATTTATACTATATTTCATATATTTGCACTAATGTTATCAGTTTTATTGATACGAAATTTATAAAACTTTTTAGAAAAGAATTAACACGAGTCAAAAATAATAGTATAAAATGTTTACACGTGTTTCGTATAATATTGAATAGAATAATTATTTCGTATTATTATTGGTAATCATTCATTTACATATAATATTTAAATCAAAATCCTATAAAACATATTCTTATAATTTCAAAATAGTTAATCTTCGTCGCAATTTACATTGCATCGCAATATACGAAAGAAACGTTTTCTTTTGTTTTTTTTTTTAATGAAATAGCACGAAAAATGAAGAATATCCAATTACTGTCCGTGACCCCGTCCGACGGCATGCACTTGGCCGCATAACTCGAAAAATTTAGACAAAATGCATTTATTCGAAACTATTCGTTCGATTGTTAAAACGACCCATTTTAATTCGTCATACTTATCGATTATCGTCTTTTAAAATCATTCTCCTATTTCTTTCTAACATTATCCTTATCGATCATGTTTCTCTTAAAACCCATTACCCATTCCTTGCAATCACACAACCACCCGATCGAGATTCATCTTCAAAGGAAAAAATAATCATTAACGAGAAAAATGGCAAGAGAGAAAGAGAGAGAGAGAGAGAGAGAGTGGGCGGGGGGTGGTATAGGAAAAAAATATAAGAGAGGAAAAAAAAAGAAAGAAAAGAAAAATGGCCTCGCTCCGTTTTCGCAAAAATCGTCGAGTTGATCGAGAAAATGCTAAAAATTTCAATTCCACTGGATTCAATTGGCAAATGTGTACAGTTTGTATGCGTACGCGATGCATCTGTCGTGCATGTGTGTATGTGTGTGTGTATGTGCGAGAAAGAGAGAAAGAGTAAATTGCATTTCTATCGACTTTCATTTTTCTGGCCGACGGTGCGCGTCCGCGCAAATTTTCTCTCTCTCACACACTCTCACACTCACTCACTCTCTCGCGCGCGCACCAATTTGCCGGCATTTTCAGCCAATGGATGAAAATAAAAACTCGTTGCCGCGAAAGTGGGCGGCCAACGCGATGAATGATCCACTTTTAATCGTTGCTTCCGCGCGGGCGTTCTTTTTTTTTCTCTTCTTTTTTTTCCTTTTTTTTATTTTTTCGTTTCTCGTTTTTGTTTTCGTGTGCGTGTTTTCTCTCTCTCTCTCTCTCTCTCTCTCTCTCTCGTTTTTTCTCGCTGTTAAAACCCAACCTAGGGTGCAGTAGCGCGTTCCTTTCAAAAGCAACCGTGGTCTGTTCAATTTGTACGGAGTTTCCAAATCGTTTTGCTATTCCGTTTCGAGCTTTAATGCGTCGCTCATTGGCGTATGTAAAATATATACACATATATATATATATCTGTCGATCGTTCAATAGGTGAAATTTATCAGGCCTAAGTATAAACTTTTTTCAAATCGTTGGTATTTAACGAAAAACACCCCTCCACCCATCCCCCGTGGCGCCATGGTTAAATCGTAAATCGAATACAAAAGCGATCATTCATCGGTGTTGCTCTAAAAAATGTGTCTGGTATATATATATATATGTATACGTATATAGGTATATACGTATGAATAAGGAACATATGTCTTTTTTCTTTCTTTTTTCTTTCATCCTTTCTTTTTCCCTTTTTAATTTTTTCTTTTCTTTCTTTTTTTTTAGGGGGATAGTAATATATATATATATATATATATATATATATACGTCGAATTTAAAACTTTTAAACGCAGGCAATCGTAGAAACGCAATAGTCCCAGCAAGCGGGCCAGTCACCCCAGTTTCGACTCTTCTAACAATGTTCTCCTCGCCCTCTGACCATCCCTTTCTCTCTCTCTCTCTCTTTTCCGTCGTTTCTCCTCTTATGTTTCTTCAGCTCGTTTCCTGGTTTCCATTGTTCTCGAGCATTTTAATACAAAAGAGAAAAGAAGGTTTGAACGTCTTTAGACGCGAAAATTGCTCGAAACCCAGGAGTGGTGCGGTAAACCAGCCAGCTTTTGATTTCGTTTAGATCGTAGTTGAATGGCAAGAGGAATGGTAAGAGTCATCGATCTTTACTACTTTAAAGATCATCGGAGTTTTGTTCTTGACGTGTCATGGGTATCGCGTTTTCTATTGTATTAAATGTTCTTTTTATTGAAAAGTTTCTTCGCGTCACGCCATTTTGGATAACACCACTTTTATTTTTTTGTTTGTTCCATTATAGAATAAATGATTTATTCAAGATTTTTGTTTACTTTAACGGTTATAACGTTTTCAATGGAATATTATCTTCATTTATTTTCATTTCAATTGCCATTGTAATTGGTTTTACACAGGAGATAGAAATTAATATTGCGAATTCGGTACACCATTTTATTTTCCATCGAAAGGTTATATTAGCAATATTATTAAAATCTTTGTAAAATGTATAAAATATATTATAAACTTTTGTCGTTTCGAAATATTTCACATTTAAATATAAATATCTTAAAAATAAATTACATTTTTTTTAGTTAAAAACTAACTGAACATAATTTGTCTTGCAATCATTCCTCTCTCCGATCATCTATAGTAATAATTATTTGATAAAAAATATAAAAACCAAAATTAGAATCCTCAATTACCAAAATAACTTATTAAGATTACGTCAATAAATAATCGGATAAGATATTAATATCGAATTAATAACGTGACACGGTTAGGTCGTGATCGAATAAAGAGAGAAAATGAAGTGGATAATGAAATAAGTTAGCAAATAGGGAACGTTTTACAAGAGATTTAAGTGTAGTATCTCTTGATAGTACTTTCACCAATATGATGGGATTATTTTCGAGGGAGTTGCCCTAGCAAAAGAGATAAATAAAAAGAAAGAAAAGAAAAGAAAAAGTGAGAGAGAAAGAGATCGTCCTTGAAACGTGCAGCATTCCAGCATACCAAACTACCTTTCGAAGATGAGGTATCTCTACTCGGTACAATTAACACCAGTGTGGGTGCATGTATCTATTCTTTGAAAAGGGCTCGGAATATTGCCGGAAGGGTCGTACAACACCACCACCACCACTACTACCACCGACTAGGAGACGTGATCCTCCCTTGACAGAAACTTTGCGGCCTCCCATGAAAAAGCCCCCAATTCATCTTTGCACACGAGGCACGTCCTCGTTTATTGACTTCTAAATTGCTTGCCTATTCCTTCCTTCTTCTTCTTTCTAAGACACGATTGTAACCATATCGATATATAACTTTCTATAGATGATTCCTCGTAAAAATTTAATATCTAATTGAAAATTCATAAGAAATCATTTATCATTGTATCTTTCACTACTTTTTTTATATATGTACTTTTTATGATTTTGTAAATGTAATGTTTATTAAAATATTTGTCTATATTATATAACAAATATATTTTGATTGAAAATATTTTCAAATACGTGATTGATTTTTTATTACAAAATTAAATATCGTTTGAAATATTAATAACAAAATAATGAATAGGCAAATCTGATATTATATATTCTAAACATTAATACAGTATATCAAAACTTACATAATTTTCTTATCACTGAAAAAAATCATTCGAATGAAGATTACTTTTCGAATCAAACAAATGCAACTAATTGTAAGAAATTTCATTATTAACGTATAAATAAATAATAGATTTAATTGTTAATGAATGAATTGTTCCCAGGTCGCGTTAAGAAGACAACAGGCTCAAGAAGAGAGCGAAGCACGTGAACTTGGATTACAATTACAATACAATACCGGTAGTTGCACTGGTACACCGGTATTGTCAGGATCAGCCACAGCAACGACACCAACCGATAGTCCATCACCACATCCGGTTCACGTAACGAATCCGACGGGCTTGGCTATTCCAGCAGCGGCCGCGGCTGCTGCTGCAGCTGCAGCAGCAGCACACATTCAAACGCAATTGACACAACCTGAATGTGGTATGATACAACGAAAAAGATCGATTCAAGACGATTACAGACAACCTAAGCAAGAAAAACCCGACATGATCGTTGGCGGTGAGTACCAATTTCCATTTGATCTTTGTAATCCTTTCAATCATTTTTTTTTCTTTTTTTCCTTCTACATATAGGTGGACAAAATATATTTGCGTGTTTTATTATTTAATATTATTTAAAGTTGTTTCATCTCAAACAGTACATATTTACGATTTTTATTCATTTTTTCCAAAATCGAACAATTCATTCGGTTTCTTATTTTTATTTTTTAAATACAATTTCAACATAGAAACGTTTCGATCGTTCCGACAATACTATTTTATGTCTTCTTTTCGAATATTCGATATTAAACGTATAGAATTAATAAGCTCGTGTAATCTTTGGTCTATTCTATATTGTATAAATAATAATGTGCAATGGAGAATATTATTTTGGTCTCTATTCTGTTAGAATTAGAAGCAATTACTGTGGAACTTGCATAATCGTAAGAGTCTACGAACTCTCGTATCGTAGCAGCCATGTAAATTTGCTGTAGGTTAGCTGCGCCTGAACGGAGTACCAATTGTGAGTCATTACACATAAGTGTACCCGGCGGGTCTCGCGCACAACTTAGGGGTAGGGGCTTACATAGATCGTTTTCCCGGACTTTTTTTTTTTTTTTGAAATAAAAAGAACGACTACGACGACGAGACTCGTGGCATCGACTTTCAAAGATTCTCGTCGAATGGGAACTCTTAAATTGACGGAATATTTTGTATGACGACCAACGAACGACCCTGGAGGACATGCTTTTCTTTTTTTTTTTAATTCATCATTTATAACGAACCATTTTAATTTAGATCGTTTTATTATTTAATCGATATATCGATGTTCTCTTCTTAATATTGAATATTTCTATTTAGAGTATCTACAACATTCAAGTACATACTTCAGGGGGTTTAGAATTTGAATCGTTATCCGAAAGTATATATGTATATTGATTGAATTAAAAATTGAAAACATAAATATATCGATTACTTTTTAATGTGTCTAAATAACAATTTAAATCATTTTTTAAGAGTTTCAATGTCTTTCAATCCAAATCCGATTTTCCAAAACGAAAATAGTAAAAACCAATAATGGAATAACCATTATATTCCAAACTTAATATATATTACAATCATATTTACGTATACACATCTTAAAAATGTCCAAATTCATTATTTTCAATTATACCATTAAAAAATGTCATATATTTGTTAACGAAAGTGACGAGGAAAAGTAAGAATAACAATATACGTATACGTATGAAAGGGGGGGAATATATATATTTTCTCTCTCGTTTTCTTAGTTGTCACACTAAGGTGCGTAGGCTCGCGTGTGCGCACTCGAGGAAGGGTGAGAATGAGCCAGGTTGGAAGGAATTCGATAAAGGAGCGGAGAGGTAGAGGTTTATTGCAAGAAAGAAAGAGAAAGAGAGAGAGAGAAAAAAAGAAAGAAAGAAATAGAAAGAAAGAGAGAGAGAGAGAGAGAGAAAGAAGAGAAAGAATTAAACGCCGTCACTAACGAGTGCGACTTTTGCTTTGAGTGGTATAATAAGAGGCCACGAGTTTGGCCATTATTTACTTAACATTATGGCCCTAGCCACTTGGTCTACTTATGCATATATACGCACGTTCCTAATGGGGCACTTATATTCCGAGACTAAAGCGTGCGAGCCTTAAAACGCATGCGTATACTTGCACGGTCGCGTGCCAGGATTTGGTTGCTGCTGCTGTTGCTGCTGCTGCTTTCGTTTCAATCTGTTCCAAATCTCAACGCTTGCTCGCTGCTCTTATAGCCGTTCTCCTTTACATTAATAACTTAATTGCTTGACGTTCTCAACGATTAATACTACTTATTCTGGTAACTGGTACTTATATTGGTAGTAGTAATAGTAGTTGTAGTAGTAGTAATAGTAGTAGTAGTAGTAGTACTACTACCAAGTAGTTTTATGCCAACGAAAATAAGACACTTCTAAGTATGCTGATCTTTTCTTCAGCTTTCCAGTCTCAAGGTCACGAGTTTTACAAATTTATCTTACGGAGATCAATTGTTATAGGTTGATTCTGATAGTTGTGTATATTCTATTGGTTGTCAGTATAAGAATATTTGTTTAGTTTATTGTACTTGATTTTAATATGGATAATCTTAGTTGTATTGTATGTTTTTTTATAATTTTTGTTTTGTATTAGGAAAGTTATTTATTTCTCTTTTTCTGTCTCTCTTATTACAATTCTGAAATATTTGTGCTGGTGGTTCTTAAAGTATGCGTCTAGACGACCAACGAGCTCATCTATTTCAGTAATTATTGGAATTAGTTGAATTTCTTTAATTAAATTCTTTATGTATCTGCAATGGATTTTTGATTTATTTTTATTTAAATCTTGGCTATTTTCCTAAAGTGTAATTGTTCGAATTTGACACACATAGGTTATCTTGACAAAATTCTGGATTCAAAAGTTTGGGAATTATTGATGTATGGTATTTTAAATTCAACCTAAATAAAAAAGATATAAAGAATAATTATTCATAGAGAGAAAAAAATAAATAATTAATAAATATTTTATAATCGTAATAAATAAAATATTGATTATTTCGAATATTCTTATAAATACTTTCCTACTAATAGTCAACATATGTAAGAATTAAAATGTTATATCATACTTTGTAAAATATTTCGCGCGAGTTATATTTTTAAATTATTTATAATAATTCGCGAAACATCCTTTTATGATTAATTTCATTTCTATTTTTAATAATCGAATATTTACGAATGTCGTCATCATCATCATCATCATTTTGTTCGTAACCTTTGTGTGATGAAAAAGAAAAGAATGACAGTTTTCTTTCTTTGGGCAAACCGAAATATATATATATATATACCTAAGACACTTGTCTGAATTTCATTCTATTCGGTATAAACACAAGGACATCTTTATTAACGGCACGCAGTAGTGTGTTCCAAAAGAATACGTCAGCGTCGTTTCACTATAGCCCACTTCCTTTATTCGGTTTCCCCTTTAACCCTCCTTTCAATTCACATTCGCTCGTTGGCATCGCGCGCGCGCAAATTCAATTTATTTCTCTTTTTTTATTTTTTTTTATTTCTCTTTCTTTCTTTCTTTCTTTCTTTCCCTTTTTCTTTTTTTTTTCTTCTACTTCTTCTTCTTCTTTTTTTCTTGCTCACCGGTCCTTCTTCCTTCACGAAACTTCGACAAAATTGTCCGTTAATGCTAAACTGTTTTTCTTTTCTTTTTCTTTTTTCATCGGATACCTGAATTGTATATTTTTCTCTTTCTTTTTTTTTATTTAATGAATTTGTTAAAAGAAAATTTTTTCAATACCTCGTTCGAACCATGGATTTCCATATTTATTGTTCCTTTTTTTTCTATTTTTTTGTTTTTGCTTTTCATTTTGAAAGAAACACTCGAAAAACTCGGCAACCCCTTCTCGTTTCGCTATCAATCGATACTACCACGTGAAAAGTCTATTAGCATGTAAATCTGAAGTGTCCCCTAGAGAATTCACGTTGGGGTAACGTGTTAATAATTAGTTACTTATATATATATATATATATATATATAATAATAATAAACCGCAATTTCTATTTGCAAACTTTCGAAGGAAGAATCTTTAAGAAAGATTCATGTTTAATTCATAAATAATGAAATTCGTCTTTAATATAAAATAGAAAAATTTATAAAAAAAAATTGTAACTCTGCCTACAAAAAAAAAAATATAGCTAACCGATATACAAACTTTTGTGAGAAAAATAAACCTTTATCTCATTTATCGAAATATAAACAATTTTACTCTGAGTGAGATATTTAACGATTAATCTTACAATTAGAATTATAAAGAAAGGAAAAAAATCGATCGTCATTTTAAAGTAAAACGCGTTTATCAAAGGTGTTAACATTAATTAGGAATAAAAAATATTGGATGGCGATAAGAATCTTGATGCCTTTCTTCGGTAGATATAAAATAAGGAAAAAGAAAATGAAATAATGATCGAGAGAGAAAAAGATGGTTCCTTTAATTGGAAGTTGTTTGCTATTGAATCGCGTAACGGTATTTTCATCTACGAAGGGGAAACCAATCTGTACAAATTCACCGTCCAGTTTCTGTATTTTCTGTGAGGAAGGAAGCCGTACGATTTGCCCCCGCGAAGATGGCAGGACGCGTGCCGTTTAAATCCACTACCCTACCTACTACCCCTCGTGGGCAACGCGCTTCAATTACTTTCTCAGGGTGGTGTACATTTGATTCGAATTAAACGAATGCCAGTTAATGCGACTTTTTGTACGGTCACGGTTAAAAATGGAGGGGGTGAGATTGGTCTCAGGGGTAGATATTGATGCAAATGATAGGAACGTAATAATTGATTGATTGGCACACACAAATTTTGTATAAATTAATGTTTAATATTTATTCGACTTATTATAAAAATAATTTGTCAAAATATTATTTCGTTTAGTGTCAATTTGTTTCGTTTTATTTTTATTTATAATACATCGTTTTATTGCATTATATTATTTTTAATGTGGATAATAATTTAATCGATCGTATTTTAATATTTGATTTTTTTGTTTTATATATTTGTATTTAGACAAAAATTATATAAAAATTGTAGTATCCTTTTCTTGAGACATATTTGTATAGAAAATTAGCTAGAAAATATTCTTGGAATAATAATAGTTAATTGAACCGAGATAAATGAACGATATTACAAATGTTTGCAAAAATTGTATTCTTTTGTTTTTTTTTTTATTTAATTTGATCAATTTGCAGAAATAGTATTATGTTAATTAGGAATAAATGCGTGTAATTGAGACGAATATCTTGGTAAAAATATCGTATTCCGTAAGAACAAAAAAAAGAAAAAGAAAAAGAGAAAGAGAATAAGTCCTCAGAAAGAAAATGTTCGGTCATAATTTTCTTTGTCACTGTGGACCTCTTTCTTGTACACTCCACAATCACCCGGAGTGCGATTACCATCGGATATCTTTTTTTCTTCTTTCACCTTCTTTCACCATTCG